GAAGGCTGTTTAGTGCCTCAAACCTTCCAAAGAAGTTGTTCAGTTTATTTCCACATCCTCCTGGTGCTGCTGTCATAATGTAAAAGATCCTGGATGTTCTGGCTGTGGTTCTGCTTCGCTGATCTGATGGAACGGTTCCAGTTGGCTCTCGCTGTCCTCAGAGCCTCTTTATCACCAGACTTGAAAGCTGAGTTCGGTGCTTTTAGTGATTTGACCTCTCCATTTATCCAGGGTGGTTGGTTGGCCCGGGTGGTGATGTTCTTTGTGATGCTGACGTCCTTGATGCCTTTGTTGATGTAGGCTGACACAGTCATGGCAGACTCAGCTACATTGATCTTACTGTCATAGGTTGCTGAAGCTGTCATGTTAACCACAGTGAACTCTCTGGGCAGATGGAAAAGTCTGCAGTTCAAGTTTGCTCTGATCTGAAGGGATTAGTTGTTCTTCTTAGGGTTAACAACAGACCATTAAGGAACAGACGGAGGGCGTTTACAGTCACCTTTTTAAGACATTTTTGTTAGACATAATATAGACTCAAAAATAATCGATGACTGAAAGCAGTTTGTCAGACTGTCTGCAGAAAAGTTAGGCCTGGGTTAGGGTTGTGGAAAACCAGAACCAATGCAGAGGACTGGTTCTGGTTTACTACACAGTAAATTCTGCAGTGTTAAAGTAACACTTTAAGAGTGCAGTTGGTCCCACTCTGAATTAGTGTTAAATTGGAACTCTAGTGTATATTTTACTCTAAATGTAATAACTCTAAAAGAGTTGATGTACTTAACACTGCATATTTAACACTGTAGAATTTACTGTGTGAAAGAGGCTGAAACAGTGACATAGAAAATATGAATCTAGAAGCTTCTCCTGTTGGTATCAGACAGGAAGTGATCACAGGTTGATGAACCTGCTGTAACGGTGATGCTGAACCAATGAAGAATTGATTAATCCAGTAAAGTTTCTGCAGCTGCTCTGGTCTCTGTCTGGTTCTGGTGTTTGACTCGGATTTGACCTGAAATAAACTGAAGCGGTTTCATTCCAGTCGATCCTCCTTTGCCTCCCACTGTGGTATTTCCACGGCTAAAGTCTCTGTGGGGATGAAGCTGACATTTCAAGACAACAATGAGGAAACTCACTGTAATGAACGCTGACTAATGCTGTCTTCTAGCCTGACATGTTTTGACGTTTGTAGGAAACAAGTTCATCTATTTCTCTCCACATTGAGAATCAATCGTTCCTTTTTTTATTCAGCTTCCTGCTTCTTCTTCTTCTTTCTTCCTGAAACGTCCCACATTTGGTCTGTTCCCACCTGTGTGGGCTGGTTTTCTCATGTCCCCCCGTCTCCTTTCCCGTCCTCATGTCTCATCCTTTGCCATCTCATGTGAGATGACCTGAAACCCCCCACCCCACCCCTCTCAGGTCCTTTATCCTCCTCATCCTCGGTGATCCGCTCCGTCTTCACCTGGAACGCTCAGCCAGATGCTTCAATGATTTGTCTCAATAATTTATGCAGAAGAGGCTGAAATGTCCTTTATTGTAGGACACTGCTGCAGAGGAAAGTTTTTCAGGAAGTTTAAC